CCAGTTTATACCATTAAAGTAGAAAACATCAAAGCTACCAGCAACAGAGTAATTTTAGTGGGTTGGAGTTTTTTGCTGCTTAAGAGAAAGTTACAGTAGTCTAAAGGACCAAAGAAAATATGTACCAATGAGGAGGGAATGTCCTCTCAAAATCCTTTAGGGAGCAGAAAGGTATCTTTAACTGAGAGGTAAACCAGTTATGGACTTTGCTGTTATTGTGAAGATCCATGTCTTACAGCAGACTTTTAGGCCAGAAAGCAACAGCCTAGAATGTTTTCTAAATTGGAATACTTTGAATATTATGCATCTTTCCTTCATTTGGGCTGTGTAGCTGTAGTGTACTGAGATTCCTATTGTAAGGAATTATTCCTGTGTAAGGATACTATCCTCAATTTCTGTCAACTTCTGGATATCACCAATATTTTCCAATGGATTTGAATGTGCTTTTTTCGTATACTGCATTAATATTTTCTTCCTTTTATTCATGTGAGAGAATGGTTTGCAGTGATAGTAGTACACAGAAAATAATTACCAGATTTTTAAAAGATAAACAGGTATTTGAAAGTGGTGTATCTTTGGGGCAGGGACTGCCTCTAATTGAAAGTTTATAAAGTCTCTAATATAATCAAGCTGGTGCTGGTTGACTGCTATGCATGGTGCAGTCCAAATATTTAAGAAGAATAACAACAGTTCTGTAGTCATAATGATCTTTCTTTTGATATTTAAAAGTGTTTTCCTAACACACACTGCCAATTTCTGCAATTTAAAGGGATTCGGGCTCAAGTTCTCAGTCTGTTTGATTCTCCCATAACCATCTGCAGCCATACCTCTGCAGACTGCAGTGTGTGCCCTAGTCTCATACCAGTACCAGGCAGCAGTGGGAGGTACCACAGCTGTGGGAGGTGCACCCAGGTAGAGGAACTCCTTAGCTTAGTGACAGAGCTCCAGGAGGAGGTGGGTAGGCTGAGGTGTATTGAGATTGAGAGAGAGAGACTGCTGAAATTGTACCCTGTCTTCTTTGAGAAGACACAGACAGACACAGGTTCCCTGTCCTTTCTCCACCTGGAAAAACAGAATTACTCAAGGGATAGGGGACAATGGTGACAAGTTCCTTTGCTGGCACAACAAGCACATCTCCTCTGGGACTGCCCCAGCTTCCCAGGTGCCCTAATAGGTTCAAAACTCTGCAAGTGGTACCAAACAGCATCAAGCATAATGGTTCATCCAGCATGAAGATGTCACAAAGGTTAAGTTGACCTGTACCCTGCATCAAAACTGCTTCCATAAAAAAGGAATCAACTGGTCATTTTAATAGGAGGGTTCCATCAGCAGCTAACAGAAGGTTCAATATGCAGAATGGACCCACTTCTTGTGGAGGTCTGATGCCTCCCTGGGGTCTGCAGGGGTTAAAGATGTGAAAAGAAAGCTTTCTCCCCTCAAATGGCCCTCAGATTATTATCCATTATTTTTTTTTTTAGGCATTCAGTGATAAAGTCCAAACAAGATGTCGGATGTCTGTGGACAACTAGACTTCAAGGCTATGGGACAACCAGTTGTGGGATCAGGAGTGGAAGTATTTCTCTCTTTTACCCTTCTGGTTTCAGAGAATGATAAGGAAAGAAATAGGAGGAGCAAGCAGATCACTATCTGGTTCTGAGGCTGGTGTCACTAGCAGGATCTGGAGTCTTTTGATCATGGGTTGGTTGAAATGACATGAGGTCTACTGTGTCAGAAGGGGAAAAGGATCTTTGCACAGGAGACAGCAGGGTTCATTGAAAGAGATTTCAATTAGATTTGGAGTGGGAAAGGAATCAAACAGAGCTCACTAGAGATAAGCCTGGGCACAGCATTCTACTCTTCAAGGGACAGTGCCAGTGAAGTCATTCAGTCATGTTTTGGTAGAGGTAGGGGATGGAGATCCATATGAGTGCTGTGGTGGCTGAAGGCCTTTTTGGGCACAGTGTTCATGTAATTATATCAATTATCAGAGCAGTAAGGAGACAGAATTGCTGACTTGGACTTACAGAGAGCAGACTTTGGCCTGTTCAGGAGACAGAGACCCTTGGGAGGCAGTCCTGCAGGGCAGTGGGGTCCAGGAAGGCTGGATGTTCTTCAAGGAGAACATCTTAAAGGTTCAAGAGCAAATTGTCCCCATGTGCTGAAAGATGAGCCAACAAATGGGCCTGACTGAACAGAGACACTTGTCTGGAATTCAGGGGATAAAAGAGGATTTATGACCATTGGAAAAAAAGGCAGGCAAATGAGGAAGACTAGAAGGTTGTCATAACATTATGCAAAGAGAAAATTAGAAGTTCCAAAGCCCAAGTACATCTTAATCTGGCTGCTTCCATAAAATATAATAAAAATATTTCTATAAAAAATATAATAAAAATATTTATATAACTATATCAGAAGCAAAAAGAGGGCTGAGGAGAATCTATCTCCAATCTTTTACTGGTTGTAGGGGGAAGTATAAGGACAAAGGATGAAGAAAAGGCTGAGGTACTTAATGCATCCTTTGCCTCCATGTTTTGTTGTAAAACTAATTATTCTCAGAATACTCTGAATACCCCTGAACTGGAGAAAAGGATGAGGGAGCAGGGTGAAGCCACCATAATCCAAGGAGAAATGGTCAGGTACCTGCTTCTCTACTTGGACAGGGACTAGTCTATAACATCGGATGGCATCCATCCAAGTTCTTCCTAGGAGTGTTTGGACAGCCATTTCCACTTACATGGCATACTCTGCATGCCTAGAAATAAGGTTTCTTACAGTCTGGGACAGCTTCTAGAGTCCAGAAGTACTATTCCTGGGAGTGGGTAAAATTTTTTAAAAATTAATAAACAGTGATTTCTGACAATGATTAATTTTTATATCTCTTAATTAATGCGTGTGTATAAATAATTAATTTTACTAATTTGTAATAATTAATAAAATTTAATATAAATATTCATTCATGCTTGTATGCACAGCATAACTAGTGTACTTAAAATTGCCAGTGTTAGTGATAACTTCCCTGTTAATTAAGTTAGCTATTATTTATGTGTATGACAAGTTAGTAATGAATAAATCTATACACTGGAACCCCAACACTTGCTTTTCAAACCGCTCTTAAATGAAAATGAATAATACCTGTTTCTCCCTAACAGAGTATTTCCCTACCTGAGACTTGGACCCAATCTTTAAAATTGTATCTGAGTATTTCTCTTTGCAAAAGAAGCCTTACAACATCCATCCACAAAAGCATGATTTGGAATAGCCAGCCTCTTTGCTGGAACTTAATGTGAGCATGCTGCATTGTTGGGCTTCCTGTTCACACATTATTATGCTCAGACACAATATGAAATTAAGTGCAGCCTGGTGACTACAGTAGGGACTATTGTAGAAAATTAGTAATGCGGAATTCAGTCTGTATATTCATTTAGCAGTACTCCTTTTACTTGGATGAGGTGTAACAATACCTTTATACCTTGGGCTTTCTGTTTTTTAACAGTAGGTTCAGTATGTTGTTCAGAAGCATGCCAAACGGCATGAAGGGTTATTATTTACTAGTTGATTTTTGAGAATTGTCTCTGTCCATTCACACAAGGAATCTGCCCTGCCCTTGGTTTGGAGATCTACTTCTGATTTTTAACACTCAGCAGGCATGTGACAAGCAGCAGAAGCAGGTGGGGTACAATGCATTTGCTTAGAGCGATGGAAAAACTGACATTGCCCCTTTGTGAAAATGCTACTTCATTCCCTATGAAATGGCATTCCTGTGCACTGATAAAACTCAGCACAGGAAATACTGAATCGTAGAATTGTAGGCTCACAGAATCGTGGTTTGGGTTGCAAGGGGCCTTTAAAGATCATCTAGCTCCAAAACCTTTGCAATAAGTAGAGATATCTTTGATCCTAATACTTCCATTTGAAGAGGCAGTTCTTGAAGAAGTTACTAATAACTCCTCTTCAAATTTTGTTGTATTCTTTGCTACAATTTTTTCTAAATTCTTATACTTTGTTATGGTGTCTTGGATCACATATTTATATATGTCTGTGTTTATAAAACATAGTAATGAATATGAGCTTATCTTTATCAGTTCTGTCTCAATGCAATCATGTAGAAGTCTCTGTAACTGGGCAGAACACTGGAGTATTAGACCAAAATATAAGATCATACAAAATCTGACAACTGCTGACAAATTTATCCAGCTGCATAATTTCAGAAATTATTTTATAAATAGATGGATTTGCAAGGAAAAAAATACACGTATTTCAAGCATGACTAATTTTTAATTACAAGAGAGAATGCAAAGTACTTGCTTTTGGTAAAATTAAAAGAGAAGAAACAAGAGGTTTTTGTGAAATGTCTTAGTGTCATAAGATTAGAAGCATGACACTGAAAGCTAAGAGAAACATCTAAGTAGGCTAGACAAAACCTTTTTTTTTTTTCCCTAGAATGTTTTTCTTTTGAAAAAAGCCTACACGGTTTGTTTGTTGGGGTTTTTCCCTATAAACATTTACTTCATTGTTCTGATTCCCAGAATAGTAGGAATTGTCAGTTGAATGAATAAAATGATCATGAAATAAATGAGTACAAACATACAAACACCAATTGTTGCAGTAGAATGCATCTGTTGTCAATCTTTGCAGGTTGTCTTGCAGTTGTATAGTTCCATTGGCCCCAAGTGGTACTTACTGAACATTTATATTTCATTTGTTTGGACCATGCCAGTATTATACAGGCAGCGTGATGGAATAATGAGCTGCATTCTTTAGGTTACTGAAGAGTCAGCACAAATTGTGGGAGCAAATAACAATCAGACAAGGCAGTGTTTTATAACATCAGGACTGCAATCCATCTTTGGGATCTTTGTAAGCTGGGCTAATAAAGGCCCACTTACAATTCCCAACAGAGTATAGTTTAATTAAATTTGTCCATTAGAGGACTCTTCCCCCTCCCTTTACATTTTAGAAATTAATTCTGCTTTCTGCCTGTTGTTCTTTTTGCATCACAGATGCACTAAACCTTCGTAACCGAAAGGTCCTCTGCACCACACTGAAAGTCATCCAGCACCTGGTGGTGTCAGCTGAAATGGTGGGGGAGGCCTTGGTGCCCTATTATCGGCAAATTCTCCCAGTCCTAAGCATCTTTAAGCACATGAATGGTGAGTTATCCTAACAGACAGTGTCTTTCAACTCCTAAGGCAAAAAGGGGCTTGAGGCACGGTTAATTAACAATGTAGTTAAGATTTATTACTGTATATAAACTCAAATCCATTTGGAGCTCTAAATAATGTAAACTCCCCCTCTTGCTATTCCCTAAGGATGCACCGAAATTAACAATTTCATTTATTACTCCTTGCACGTACAGTTTATTTAACACAGTACAGAAGCAGTGAAGCAGTTCTATAATCTTCCAATAATTAAATTGTAAACTTTGTAACAGTCTTTTGAATACATTAATAAATTGCAAAGCTTTTTTCCTCCCTCAAACACGCTAGTTTAGTCCAGCTGTTTTATTCAATTCTGTGCTCTCCACAAGAATTTGCTGCTACCAGAAGGTTTAGGAGAAATTAAAAATAAAAGTAGAGATCAAACTAATTAATTTGAGGGTCAAGAAAACTCCATGTTATAAAAGATTTTCAAGTTAGATGATATCGAGCAACACAGTGAATTTGGAGTTATTGCTGCACACTTAGCAGGTTTCATTATAGAGAAATTTAGAACTAATTTATATCTACAATTAAGTATGTGTTTTCTTTGTAGTGCAGATCTCACTAGTTTCAGTCTTTAATAATTGGTACTGTGAGTTCTATATACTGTGAGTACATTTATACCACAGTCATCTGCTGAAATCAACATGATGTATATTGCTTTAGCCAAATTAATTTTTAACTATTTTTGATAGTAAATCTATCTGTACTTATTTTCAATTATCTACAAAGTTACTGACTTAAAACTTCCTATTATTGACTTCTGGTGAATAGATGAAAAGAAATTAATTCCTCACAAGCTTTCAAAGGAGGGTTTTCACGAAATTAATGGCATTTTAATAGTTCTCTGCTGGACTTCTTTCTATTATACTTCCTGTTTGCATTACTACAGAATATAATACTTTATACTCACTCTTTAGCAAGTATAAGATTCAAATCACATTGAAAAATGCCTGTTCAGAGACTGACTTGAAGGCACAAATGAAATTTACATTTTAGATCTGTTTAAAAACATGTAGGACTCTGACTTTACTTAGTGAGAAACATTCAGTAACATGGAATTTCACAAATGCAACTTATTGCTGATGACAGTTGTGGCTTTCTAGATGTTGTGGGATGAAAGGTTATGAGTGAAATCTGTTGGCTGAACTTAAGCAATTTCAGTAGGGCTTCTTATGAATTGGAAGATTTCTGCCTTATAGATGTAATTTTGGTATCTGGCACAAAACAAGACTGTAAAAATGACTCTCATTGATTAATGAATATACCACACATGCTTTTTTCCAAATTTCCGCCTGAAGTAGCCCCTAAATTCTCTTGACTGGGCTTTTATACAGTGTTTTCAGATGAATAATAGGGAAAGCTCAGGTGTAGCCAGGTACATAGCTTGGCAAGTCATTAAATCCAATCTAAATATATCTTCAGTTCTGATTGTATTACAATACAATCAGCAAAATAAAATGTATTTTCAAGATATTTGCATGGGATCTGTGCTTTGTGAATTTGTGCCTATATAAAATGACACTAAATCATTATATTTGACATTAAAGAACTAAAGCCCCCACAAAAAATGAAAAGTAATATTTCAAAATTAACTGATTTTATTAAGTCATTACTTTTTTAGAAATAAAAATTCTGAAACTTTAGTATTTGAATGAATGAAATAGATGCTATTTGCAAGGCCAAGCATGTGAAACTGTTTAACTTCTTCAGTACTTGTATGAGGATGATAGGGAATAGTCTGTCTGTTCCTTCCACAAAAAGATTATGTTTCATTCCTCCTTCACTGGTGGTTGGCAGAAAATACAGGGTTCTTTCCTTCTCCTTCTATTTCACATAACCTAATAGGCAGCTGAGGTGAGGGTGTTTGCTCCCAGTTATAAGGAAATTGCAGACTGATCTGGACTATTTTCTTCACTGTTTATTGTTACAGGTGAAAGATGGGATAAGTGAAGTGTACTTCTTTCTTCTTTTCTGTATAGCTTTTGAAAGTAAGAACTGTGGTGCATCTTCCTGGACTTGTATGATTGCCAGTCTATTAGGTCAGACACTGAGGAAGTTTGTCCAGAATTAAGTTAACTGGAAGAAGCCATGTTTTAGTCATTGCCACCTTATTAGATCAGTATCTATCTGATGAAAGAAACTCTTTCCCAAATTCAGCATCTGTGAATACCACTCTTAGTAAACAAGATTATCGTTGAGAGAATATTAAAAAAAAATAATAATATTAAATAATTAAGGTGAACTTACCTGAAGTTCAAGTTACCTGGTGAGCAATTTAGGACAAACCAAAATGATTCTTCATGCAGTGTGTGTGATGTGAAGCTCTAGAACTCCCAACCCAAATTTCTTTAGATACAAAAAGTTTCCATACGTTAGGTGAAGGGTCAGAAATGTCGTACAAAGAGTAAATTTTTAATAAAACACGTGTCATTGCTATTGGTAATTTTTGTAAATTATAAAAAAAGGAGAGCACCGATGAAAATAAATTCGGAGTTTTAATCATTGGAAGCATATAAAACATGTTCACCCATCTGAATCACAAGATACAGGTTTAAAATAAACCAATGCAATCTAAGTTATAAATTCCAGGGGGATGATCCAAGCCTCCTGAGACAGTCTGTGTGAAAGCCAGAGGAGAAGGTTCCATTAACTTCTGAAGAGTCTTGTTAGTGAGCCAAGGGACCTTTTGGTGCACAAAGCATATTTGGTATGTCTGAATTTGTGCCCTCTCTGGAACTTAGGCCCTCACTTTGAGTAGATGTTTCTTTTCCCTTGGCTTCCCGAGCTCCCTGCTGTAGAGCATTAAGACATGAAGGAGCAAAGTTCTTCCGGTGATGCTACCACTCGTGTCTTTATTGGTCTTGTCTTGACACCCTCACCATCTGGCCAGAGTGTGCTCTGAAACAGGGTTGAGGCTTTCTGCTGAAACTCTTAGCCAGAGCCATAAGGCTGGCAGGAAAGCAAGAGAAGGGAACATGAGTATGTTCCAGTGATTGAGGAACAGGAATACTGCTTGACACAGGAGCTGTTTGTCTATTTTCTGGAGACTGGGAGGAGACTAACAGTCTCCAAACAAATTCCACAACATAGGGACTAGTATACAAATTTGTTACTATATAAGATAAGAAACTAAAAATGTCATGGTAGTGCTTACTAAGTCTTATTATATAGTCTGTAATGCCACTGTAGTTAAATGCGTAAGGTAAATGTACTCTTATAAAACTCATTTAAATCTTGTGAACAGGGGAAGAAAATTCTGTATAAACTCAAATGGAAATATTCTTTTGCATCACAAACCCCTATCTTTTTTATATCTTATTTTCTAAGCTGTCATTTATAAATATGTGAATTTTCTGGACTAAATACAATTTAAAAACAAATACAGAATACAGTAAGTGTGTTATTTTATGAAAGCAGACTGAAGAGAAAAATAAGAGAAAAATAGGAGTCTTTAGAGCCTGGAATATATTATTAGGGTGCATTTATACCAGAATGATGTTTGAAACAGAAACCAATTAATTAAAAGGATTATACTTTTAGGAACGGCAAAATTCTCCTGTTTGATTTACCTGACTGGTAAATGAAAACTTTGTATATTTAGTTTAACAGCTATTTTCATGTTATCAATTTGTATTATATAGAGCAAGAACTGTTTTGCATATAAAATAAAGTTAGATGAAACAAAATATTATTAGGATTTACAGGCCTCAAAGAGAGAAGAGTGGGGTGCCACTGCACCATGGAAAGTACCTCTCCAGCATGGTAATTTAATCTGTGACTTGCTACAATCATTGTGAGGGAAACAGTGGAAGTAGGGCGCCCTGAAGTTTCTTTTGGCTGCAATAAAATGGCCTTGACACTACAAATGACTTAAAGCTAACATAAACTTTGGACAGTCTCTACCTATGTAGCCAGTCCTTCAAAATAAACTTTTAGAGGTATGACTGAGAATACCTGATGCAGTTGTATTGTAGCATTCAACCAAGTGTGGTTGAAGCCACAAAGCAGAATTATACTGCATGCTTTACAGTGCCTGAACTTCACTTGGGGAAAAAAAACTTCTCTTGTCTGAAAGGTACTTCATATGCTTTGGAGAACTCTATTTTACAAAATGCAATAATATTGCATAGACTCTAAAGGAAGAAGCAGGACCTAAGTGTTAAATGGCAAACGCAAAAGACTGTGCCTAGAGCTACAAGTCCTCCCCGTGTTGGAGTTCAAGTATTTTCAGAACTGCCTGTGTATTCCAGATGCCGTGATGCTCCTCCAAGTGGTTCATAGTTATTAGTAAGAAGCAGCAATTATTCTTTAATGTGATTGAATATGCTCTAAAGAAAAATCTCTTTCCCAGACCATTTCAACTGTTTGCTTCTTCCACCGGGAAATACAAAAGTCCTTTCAAAAGTGAGTCTTGTTCTAAAGTACTTTGCATCTTGCCAACTCTGTTTGCTTAATATCTCCTATGAACTATGAGATTGCAGACTATTCTCAGACAACTTTTCTCAGAGTTAAAGTGCTACTAGCTTTAGCGTTTTTTTTTTTTTTTTTCATCTGAAAATGGAGATTCCCAGAGAATTAGTTGATTCATGGTTGAAATTTGCATAAAAAACAATTGAATGCCATAAGATTATTGATAAAATAAGCCATGCTAATATATTAGTGACATAATAGTTTTCACATTGTTCTTATGCTTCATTTTGACACCTATTCTTCCTATTCCTTTGCAAATTTTGCAAGATTTTAATTATTTCTAAGGTCTCTTTGAATTCCATCAGTTATAATTTCTGAAATTTGAGAACAAAGATTCTGATGTGGCTTTAAGGATATACACTTCAAAGGAATAAGACCACTATGACAACACAGATCTAAGTGAAGAAACTAGTTTTGATACATTTTCTCGGGTTTTTTTAATATATACCTTCAGTACAAGAGGATTCAGGATGTTCTGA